AAGCAGGCAACTCAATGCATATGACATTGTACAAGCACTGTGAAATGTCAAGATCAGTATCTACAGACACACATTGTGGCATTCGTGGCTAACAAAGGAAAAAAACAGTCCATCAACATAATGCATGGACATTAAACATCATTCATACAGACGATAACATGCATATCACCAACTACTACGTCTCAAACACTACTGCAGTCAAAAAAACATGGTGCAGTTAAAACTACAGTGTTGAACATCACTATGCTTGCGCACAAAATGTTTTTGTTTACCGTATTAACTACCTTTTTTGCAGAAAATCAACTTGATAAAGATATTAGATAAACTATTTTATATTTATATTCTTATTCAACATAGTGATGTTGCACTGCTGTTTTTTTCAGAAAATCTTTGGACTTACCTTGGTATGTGCAAATTTCAGACCAATTCCTTCCAGTGTGACTTGTAATAAACCACCCTCTCCAGTCTTGACGTCCTGGATAGGGAATTCCCCGCCAAGTTCATTACCTAGACAGATCAACCACAACTAATTATGTAACAACTCTTAAAAGATCAGAAAAAACAAAACAAAGATGTATACCTAAAACAAGAAAGCCATCAGAAATGTCAGATCCCCCTGCAACTTTATTACATCAGTGCAATAGTCTTCCAGGTATGGTATTTATGCATTATGCTACTTAAATATGACCTAGTGTGCAATGTCCAATTAGCGTTGAATGATTAATGACATTCTTACACCAGTCTGTCATTTTGATGTCATAGAAGTCTTATTAGAAAACGGGTATATTTGGAGCTTGATCAGTACAATGCAAAATACATGAAAAAAGAAATTCAATTTCGACTGTGGACCTGGTAAATAACTTGTCATGGATGTATTTGTTGTGGATTCTGTGAAGCAGATTCACTGAAATGATAGTCCCAGTCTTCATGAATTTCACACTAGTCATCTTTATTTAATCCCAGTGGTTTAGGCTATGCTAGGCTCAATTCAGTGACTGGTGGTGTGAAATGTACTTTAAGCAGTCACAGAGGGCAGCAGTCTGGCAGGTTCATTCATGACATGTATGTCACCAGACTTGAACAGGGAATTAACTGCATCAGAGACTTACCCCCAGCAAGACCATTCTGCCGTAGAGCTGCCTTCTCCATGCTTTCCTTAACACAATAGTATAATTCACGACACTAAAAGAAAGTATAAACACAGGGGTTATTAAGGAGAAAATCTTGAAATATCTATCTTCCATCAGCTATACGTCTAACAGGTTGTTTCTTGAAGTCAACACAACCATTATCTAACAAGTCATTGTCAATGACACGTCCCCGTTCCGTTCATATTTGAGTGACATATACATTCAAAGCAGATCATGACCGAAATGCACCTGCATATGTACAACACATTGTACTAAATCTGAACAAAATCCATCCATGCATGACTGAGATCCGGTTCCGGAATTGTGAAAATACGTGATTTTGATGCATTTTCGGCCTTAAAATGGCCATCATTCATCTATTGTTAAGCGGATCATGAAACAAATGCACATATCTATTTGTGACATGATGTACCATGTGTGTGTGAAGTTTGAACTTGATCAATCCAGACATGTCTTGGATACGGATCCAGAACTGAATTCTTTAACAAAAT